ATGCTGGATTGGCTGAAAAAGTGTTTATGGCAAAACACGATCAGACTGAAAAACAGGGGTGGGGTTCAACAGGTTAAGGCTTTAAATGAAAAAAGTATCTCGGTTATTTCCGATTACTTCCTCTCTTGTTAACATCACATTTTGGCAGATTGGTGGCTGTTTACCTCTAAACCTAGTTTGTTTGTTGTTCCACAAGCACACAAGCATCCAATCTGTGTGCTCCATAGTTTCTCCTCTTTGTTCTGTTTCTAAACCTCTCTGAACTGGACCATCTGTTGTCCTGGGACCTCTCTTTCTCTCCTGGCTGTCTGTGTTTCTTCAGATGTTTTTGATCCAAATCTTTTTCATCTAGTAGATTAAGCATCTCCTGTGCCCTGTACTACGAAGCCGGATTTTCGATTAGCGAGGTAACTTCAGGGTTAACTCTGGGTTTCCGGTCCTACGACGCTGGTTCACTTCTTACCGGGGTAGATCTCCATGGTAACTTATGCTCCGGAACAGTCCGCGACACTGAGTGCAGACATCGATGTGTCCCATTATCATTCATATTACAGTACATCATCAATCACATCATAATATCATATATTTCCTTATCTCAGTCAGCTTCTTGAGCCGTATCTGCTATCTGGACGTGCAACACTTACATTGTCACATACTGAATGCCAAAGTATTATTTTAAGCAACACGTTAAGTTGAAGAAACACTCAAATGCAATTAAAGTCAGATCCCCTCGTGTCTTAGACGGGGCAGTGATATCATAAACTGTTAATGAATGCATTCAAACACTTTTTCTTTTACCAGCTGTATTCACCTTGCATGTGCAACTATGTGGCTTTTATCCTGGTTAAGTCATGGATGTTTAAAGTTTAACTTCTTCATATTTGTCTAATATATTATAGTTTACTTTTCATTCATGAAGTATGACGCTGCGCTGTCACTATGTGTGTTGTTAGCATTCTGGCTCTGTTACAGTTTGGGGATGTTCTCAACTTTTATCCAAACAAAACATAATCCTGTCTTCTGATTCTGTAATCTGGTTTTTATATATCTCACTCACTGTAACTAGTCTTTCTTGTTAGATTTATTTCTGTTTGTGTGACACTTAAGTGGCCTTATTATGATGGAACAAATACCCAAAAGAATAATTATTGCAATTACATTTGATGTCATTTTAAAACAAAAACAACAGATAACCCTGCATTTTACCCTGGGGAACCCCACATCTGACAGGCATTGCCTTTTTTAAAAGATCCCACCTTAAACTATATATTGACAGACATTGATGTTGAAATACATTTGTATAGAGGGATACTAAACCACACATATTTCCCATTTATAATATTGTAAAAGACAATTCAAGAATGATTTTCCAAAACCAGACAAAAAATGACGACACTCACTTTGACATTCTTTGTTATTTAATGATTTTGCAGCCTAGCATCTTTACTTTTTCCTTGAGAGATCTGATTATTTCTATATAATTGTTCTGAAGAAAGAGACTGAACATAATTACACACCCAGTTGGTTATCATTGTGGATCATTTGGAACAAAATGTGTGCTAACATTCCTCACAACGTGATACATTTGTTTTTATCAGGGACTATAATCACAGCATTGTGGTATAAACACAGGCTGGCTTGGCAATCATTTGGGTTGGACCAAATCATTTATGTATATTTGCATAAGCACTGTCAGTATTGCAGTGCAGCCCGCAAGGCAGTGGGTTGTCTGCTTGCTTCAAATATCAAAATATGGATGACACCAAGAAGAAAAAAAAGGCATTCATGGGGCGCCAAGGTCACAAGAAAAGTCTATCCTGTGGCTTAGCCAGGTGCCCTCAACATTAGCTGCTCCTAATGAATGGTATGACCCTGGGTTTGATCTTTGTTGGTGTTAGACTCTTTGAATGTCCAGTTGCCTATTACAATAGCGACACTTAATTTAAATAATGGACAACGGTTCAGGTTTTAGCATTCAGCAATATGGGCTCTGATGGGGATTCCTAGTGAAAGACACTGAATCTGTTTAGGGGATGCACCCTGACCTCTATCTGACCTCAACTGAGGAGGACATTGTTATTATGATAATCATGTGCAGGTCACAGAGGAGCCATTTAAATAATGGAACATATTGAAGGCAGCAGGGAGAGAGCAGAGGTTGCTTTATAAAAGCTAGCACGCGCTGTCAGGACAGCAATGAGAACAGTCTCATGTACTGTAAGTGAGGAAGTAGAGCGGGCAAATACATGAGATTAGACAGCACAGGGCATCTGCAGGGTACACACAGAGACTGCTGCCCCAGAGCAATGCTCTGCATCCTTCTCTCGGCACTGAGGCTCTCCTCTAGCCTCCTTTTGTAACGTTTGTAATGAATTCAGCCGTGTTCTGGGCTCAATAGTAGATGTATTTAGTGTTGTATTTGTGTATTTCCCTCTATTAGTCACTTTTTTGTATCGATTCTCTAAAATGAAAATTCACATTCAATGTTAGAATTAGTGTGCAAACCTTTTTGAAAGTCAAAGATAATTTAATCAGTGCAGTGACATTCAGATGTATTGTAAGTTGCACGTACCTGACCCTATTAAAAAAATCACAGATAGCTAAGTGTCCGTCCTTCACCAGTAAAACGTGACCTGAACATTTTCGAGGTCCTTCAAATTCAAGATTTTCATATACCTCTGGACAAAGACACATCATTATGTAATGATGGAAAGGGCAAATTTCACAGTTACTGCGAAGCGATTCATGTTAAAAATGATAATAAATGTCGCTACGACATTCAGTTAAAGAGTTCCATATTAAGATAAAGGATGTGAAACAAAGCCGAAGGGCAGAGTGTGTTTCTAAACATCTACAATATAAAAAAAACCCTGAGGGATATATATGTTCTTCATTGAGGTCACCATGGAGAAATCCACTGCCTCAAAGACTTCAACCAAAACATGGCTTAAAATGTCATGTGTTCTTAAAAAAAAAAACATTTACATTAAAACAGTTTTTTCTGTTATTTTTCCTTATCTTAATGGTAAAGAAGATATGTAGAAAATCAATTATATCTCCCAAAGTCGCAACTTTATTTTAAAAATGTCCTCTTCTTTTTGACTGTACTTTGTTGTTCTGTTTTGTGGTTGAGCTAATACATAATAACACACTAACAACTAAAAAAGGTTGAACTAAAAGATTCTGTCTTTGGAATAAAACGTCCCTCGGTGGGATGAAGACTAAGAAGTTGAACAAAGGGTTTTTTAATTTTTCTATCTGCCACATACGCTGCCCGTATGAAGAGGAGGAACTACTGTATGATAGCAGCCAAAAGCAGTGTGTATTTTAGTGTCATTTATTTATGTTTTGAAAGTCAACAATTAAGGGCCTTAATTGAAGATAATTAGCGAAATGGGAGAACTGAAAGTGTTGTCAAAATCGTACCAGGACTTTATAGCTTTACAGGCCACCTTCTGTATGAAAACTTATTTTACCAAGAGTGGAGACATTGCTGCAGCTTGGAGTACCAATGGAGAACAAAAATGTATTTGGGAAAGTGGAGGATTACATAAACATGAATCTATTCAGTTATGAGTGAACGGCACTGCCAATAGTTTCCAAAATAGAATGTGTTTGTGTATTTCTGACGTACACAGAGATGATACGTACAGCTTTATTAAGTTGCTTTCATTTTAGCTTCACAGTATTGTGGCAAAAAGAAAGCAGGATCATATTAATGAACTATATACTTTGTGTGGTTGACACACAATTTACAATTTAAAATTTCATTTTGATGACACTGACAAATGATTAAATAAACAGACTTCAAATATCCAGGACGCAGGAATATCCAGGCTGTAATCACATTCCTCACATTGTATTTGATGTTGTAAGCTAAATGCAGATTGATGGCTGCAGAAGCTCAGTAAATATGTTAATCAGAATCTCTTGTCGCAATGACGCATTGTTTTACTGACTGTCACAAGGTCCTTCAAGTGTTTACAGTAATGGTGCATATTGATGCAATATGGCTGTTTTGTAACATATTGGCTAAGCAGAAGTTCTTATAATGGTATTCCTGTCTGAAAATGCAAGTCATAAGATTAGAATTGAAGAAAATTAACTGCCGTTTCAAAGTCATGCTTTTCTAGTCATTTCAAATGGATGTATATCACGGGTGCGCTGACTATGATTCCTTTGATAACACAGAAGCTCTTGTGTTGGGTTTCCGATATTCGGGTGATATGTCTGTCAAGGGGAGACAACTCCACATCTTTCCCCTTTTTTGTGGTTAATATGTGTTTGTTTGTTTTAAAGACCGAACACTTTGGGAGCACTAATTGCTGTTTTTAGATGCAAACCTGTTCCTGATATTTAACTACATGTCCTAACACTATCACTTTTTGTAGTGCTATGGAACATTTCCCCATATTGTTGTACTGTATCTCAAAAGTTATGAAATATAACCAAAAAGTGCAAATAACTGTAGCAACTGTATTTGCATACAAGAAAACTCTATAGTGTACCTTTTCTAGAATGTTCTGAAATCTCTTTTTGAGTATCATTCCTTTTGCAGCACCTCTTTCCTTACAAAAAGAAGGAAAAGCACATTTACCAGCACATTAATATGTGCATTACGGCATTGGTGCACTGGGGAAATATACCCATTGGAAATCACAATATGTTTTTCTCTAAAGGCCACAGAAACTACAGGATGCATTTAAAATTCTGCCAGTTCACTTAATGCTTTTCTTGAAGTCAGGGCTTTTTCAGGGCTGTAGTTTTATGGAAATATGGTAAATACCTTCTACTTCGTGTTGTACACATTTGGATTATCCCGAATATTCTAAAATGAACTTGGTCCATCGGGGTTTTAGAGATTAAGACAAAAATACTGCAGGAATACAGATTGTCCCAACACATTTGTGCTTTCTTCATAAACTATTACTGTGAACATTCACATGATTGCAGCTACATTTAAATGCTGTTTTCTCTCTGTGTTTCTGCATGTTTTGCAGGGCCCGTTCTTGGCCTTCGTCACTCACAGCTAATGGATGTCTTAACCCAGTATGCCTACAATGACAGTTTCAATGATAATGGAACATGGAGCTTCAACGAAACAGATCAAGAGCACAAGCACCCTTACAACTACTATGCCATGCTGCTTACTCTGCTCATCTTCGTCATCGTCTTCGGCAACGTGCTGGTATGCATTGCTGTGTCCAGAGAGAAGGCCCTTCAGACCACCACCAACTACCTGATCGTCAGCCTGGCAGTCGCCGACCTTCTGGTGGCCACGCTGGTTATGCCATGGGTCGTCTACTTGGAGGTAAGATACCAGATACACACACCCACACAACATTTACACAAGTATACTGTGTACATACTATACCAAAGACAAAGCAAAGTGGTGTGCAGACTTGTTGTATAATAAGCAGTTCTGGTTTCTATACTATCTCCTATATAACAGATGTGAATACTGTCAACAAAACAGAGAGGCTCCTTTGATACCAAGAAAGTTACCTTAAGACAGATTTCAGTTTGGAATATTGTGGTTATAAAATAACAAAGCAAATTATGCATACAGCATGGATTTATATATAAATCCAGTGCAAGTAAAAAAACTCCTGAAAAGGGTTTGAGCCAAGCAAGTCGCCTGCAGTTATCAGCAGGTCGAAGGCCCAAGGTGAAACAAGGGGGACAGCTCTTATGTTCACATCAGCATTGTAAATATCAGTCCTGCAGTGGTTAAAGGCCTTTATTGTTGCAACAATACGTGACAACATCAAAATGTCGGACCGGTCTATTCAGCTAGAGGTCAGACATTTATGAATAATTCTTCCTATTCTGGGATATATCAGTTTGCATTCGCTGCTGTGTGATATAATGCAGTTTTCAAAGCAGTTTAGACACATCAATGCTGCTAACCAGAGCAACCTCAAACAGAACAGAGTCTCGGGTGCAGCATAAATTCATCTCCAATCCACTAAATGTGGGCTATCTTTCAGAAAAGACTATCTCTTGGTCATTGCTCATTTCTTCTGTCTATCTTCTCGGCCCCGGGTTTATTTCTGACCGTCAGGCTTTAGGTCACGCTGTCTGATGTAGAGAAAGGCAATCTAAGACTAAAGGGACTCTAATCCTCCTGTGCCTCTCAGTGAGTCAGGATGATTATCACTCTGATCAAATTACACTGTATTAATCCATACAATGTCATGGTCACTCCATGTATGTTTGTTACAGCACAGTGGAAAGTGGAAATGTGTCTCTCTTTAACAGTAATCTTTCAGAGATATTATTACTTTTTTTTTTTTATTACCTTTTCATTGCTTTTATGTGTGTGATCATTAGGACCAATTATTAGCCTAAAGCTTGTTAATCCATAAAGTAAGAAACCTGCTGTGTTTGTTTTTTATCACTAACATTTACACTCTCTCTTTTGATGTGGGCCGACTAGTAGGGTGCCTACATTAAAGGGGACCTATCATGCAAAATGCACTTTGTGATGTCTTTTATACATAAATATGTGTCCCCGGTGCGTCGGGGAACTCACGCAGCGTCAGGAAATAAAACCCTCTCTCTTTTCCTCCGTACCCAAATCTTTTAAAAACTGGTGTACAACGAGCGGACACAGATTTCCATCCGCTGTGACGATTTCCATCCGCTGGGACGTCGGTGCCGGCGGACCCACAGAAAGTTGCTATCGGAAACAATGCCTGACGTGTTTTGGACGTAATCTCGTCTTTGTTTACATTAGCAAGCCTCGCTAACACTCAGAGCCAGGGGCGGACTGGCCATTGGGAATACCGGGAGTTTCCCCGGTGGGCCGGTGCTGTGTGTGGGCCGGAGGGCCAAAAAAAATTAAAAAGTCACGTTTGCCTCCACTTGCTGTTCAAATAAATGTTGAAAGAAAAAGTTAATCTGTTTACAGTTCTGTTTTATATGGGTGAAGAAGAAGAAGAAGAAGAAGAAGAAGAAGAAGAAGAAGAAGAAGAAGAAGAAGAAGAAGAAGAAGAAGAAGAAGAAGAAGAAGAAGAAGAAGAAGAAGAAGAAGAAGAAGAAGAAGAAGAAGAAGACGAAGAAGAAGAAGAAGCAGAAGAAGAAGAAGAAGAAGAAGAAGAAGAAGAAGAAGAAGAAGAAGAAGAAGAAGAAGAAGAAGAAGAAGAAGAAGTGGGAGGAATTAAACCCTCTTTAATGGTCACACATGCAGAGCACACAGCACACACAGTGAAATGTGTTCTCTGCTTTTAACCCATCCTAGTACCAGGGGTCTAGTACTAGGAGCAGTGGGCAGCTATTGTACAGCGCCCGCGGAGCAATGGGAGTGAGGGGGGAAGGGGGATGTATGGTGCCTTGCTCAAGGGCACCACGGCAGGAGGTGAACTGGAACCTCTCCAAGTAGAAGTCCACACTCCAAATAGGTCTGGTCGGGGACTTGAACCGGCGACCCTACGGCTCACAGTCCAAGCCCCTACCGACTGCCATTGATTTAGTCCCTAATTTTGCTCTCAAAATGGACCAGATTGATGCATTTCACTTCAACATTTAAAAACAAATCTTCCCGGGGGAACTTGCCCCCGGACCCCCCTAGAGGAGGTGAGGTTCACCACCTGCCCACACCCCCTGTTAAATTGTCTCACCCACATTGAGGATGCTTCCTACGCCCATGTTTTATTCCATGTGTCAAGTCAGGCAAATTGGGTCAAAATGTTATTGCATCAATGATCTGTTAACATTAAAATCACTAAATATATGCCGTAACTATTTTGCTCTAGGCAACTCAAGGGGTCAGGTAATGTGATTACTATATGAATAATTGTCCAAAATAACATAAAATGCATAGGGTTTTTTGTTAAGTAACATACTTTCGTCGCCGGCCGGCCAATACATGCCGAGCATTAAGTGGGCCTGTCTGTCAATTAATCCCCGGGCCACTTTTTCCCCCCAGTCCGCCCCTGCTCAGAGCTAACCTGTACTGTAGAGCACATGTGTTTAAAAAGCAAGAAATAAAAAAAAAACTCACCTTGTGATAAACCTGCAAGAGAAAAAGCATTTGAGCTCTATACTATTTCAGAAATAATCCTTGACGTGGTTTAAACAGGATGGCGTTTTATCACAACCGAATTTAACTTTATCTCCGGTAGAATTCTGATCAGGCATTAGCTCCGCGTCCTCTTCTTCTTTTTTTTCAAGCTAAGGACCCAAGATCCGCGTTTCTCTAACAGGGCTTCAAAAGAGGGGTTTGAGCAGTAAGAGGCATGGCTACAATGGGTGATCTGTTTGGTATTTTGAAAAAAAAATGTATATACTGTAGGTATATGGCCCTACAATATATTTTTCAAATATAGCATGATAGGTCCACTTTAAAGTATTTCGTTAACAATCAAGTGGAATTGCAATGTCTCAGTGCAGCATTGTATCAAAGCTCCAAAATTCTACCATAAAACCTTTTTAATTAAATATTATAGCAAAATAAAGCGTGTCCATGAAAGTGTTTTAATGGCATTGGGTGGAGTTTCAATTTGAGTGAGCCTTGGAATTCCTCTGACACAGCATGTTTTCAGACACTAATTTAAAACTTCTACATCCTGTAACTTTATATTGCTGATTTGTGATCTGTTTGTGTTTCGTGGAAACCCAATGTTTTTTTCTTTCTTTCTTCATAACCAGGGCAGGGCAAGCATCAGAAATTGTGGATTAAAGAAGTGGTTCAGGGATTTAGTTCATAAGGCATCACGAGTCAGAAAAAAATCAAAGTAACAGAGACTGCAATATGTTGAAATGTAATCCAGCTCAAGAATCCTACATTTACCACAATGGAAATCAAAATGATCATTTACTTTGACCCTTTGTAAAAGCTCACGTCATTCAAACTCCATTGTACAACATTTTAGGTTCAGGTTTATTTTCTCAGACTTTAGAGAGTGGCCTATATAGCCTAAATTGACATTAGTCAACCCCTTTTGACAGGCTGAGCTGCTCATAATGACAGTTCACTGTTAATTATGTGTACAAATTGTGCAGAGCTCAAGACAGCATGTGCTTGAATATAAAAAAAATTAACCTCTGACAGAGTTCATAATGTATATTCTTCTTCCATCAGAGTGATGTGCATCTTCAAATAATAACAAACAAACAATTTAGTGTTCAGCGTGGGATACAAATGTGTCTATGGTTTGTCTACCTACTACAAATAACACACCAATTCTAACTGCATACAGAAAAACTGTTTTCTTTTATATCCATGTGCAGATATTTCACTTCCTTAATCTTAGCCTCGTTGACTTTGGCAATGACTTAGTTTCATCTTGTTAATAATGTATCATAATGAACTTTAGTTAGAGCTTAGTCACACAGTGTGGAAAAGGGCATTTAACTCGCCCTTTATTATCAAAAGCTGATTTAGCATTCATTATTGCAGCTTTTGCTTTCTGCCAAGTGGGAGAAGAGAGAGCATATTGAAGGAACATAAGCCGGGCTAAAAAACTGAATTATTACAAATAATTACGAGTCTTTTAAACATCAGACAGTAAATCCAGTTTAAGTGCAGTTTACAACTAGAGAATGCAATTCCTGAAGAAATTGCTAGTGGGAATGCTTTATGCTGAAAAGCTGACGCTAAACTGCTATGCTGAAATGTAATGTGTAAGAAGAAAGTGAAGAATTTAGATTAAAATGAAATGTGTAAGAAGAAAGTGAATAATTTAGATTGAAATGTGCAAGAAGAAAGTGAACAATTTAGATTGAAATGATACATGAACACTGGGGGCTTGAATGTGTATAAGAGAAGAAAAGAAAGTAAAAAGGCTTGGAAAAGCAGCAGAATATTTGAACTGCAAACTTCTGAACTAACTTGATGGCGAATGATCTGTCGCCATGGCAACGACATTTGATGACACCCCATAATACGCTTAGATGCGTTGATTGCTGCATCGTTACCAAACCTGTGAAGTTTTGGGGCGTTTGGAGCATTTTCACTGAAGTTATGAGAAAACCGTGTTTCATGACGAGCATTGTGTTGCCATGGCAACGGCATTTGAAGAAATCTCAAAACTGTCCCGTAGATGTCTTCACGGCTGGACTGTTAGCACAGTGTGAAGTTTGAGCACTTTTAAAATATTTTCATAGGAGTTAGCGACATCATGTTTTATGGCGAGGGATGCGTTTCCATGGAAACGGCATATGGTGAGATCTCAGATTTGGCGTAGAGCTGTTGAGGTATGGACCGGTGATATACAAGTGAAGATTGGGGGACGATTGGACCGTGTCGATTGGACTTACAGCGGCATCCTGTTTCATGGCCATGGCAACGGTATTTTGATGACACCC